TTTTTTTTTTTTTTTTTTTTTTTCTCCCTTTCAGAAATTTTCCACTATACATTCATGTTTGTGAAAATCGAAATATATTAAAATTTTTATAATATATAATATAGATTTGTCTTCTCATCTCTCTCTCTCTTACTTTCTCTTTCTTCATTCCCGATGAAGTTTGTTCCTCCCTGCTTTCTTCTTCCTTAAGTGTTCCAATGTTCTATTATATTTAATTAACTAATGTTTTTGAATAGCTAAGTTTGAAGCCCAACATATCTGTTTTGGGCTCAACAGGTGGGCCAATCCTGGATTTTGGAACATCTCTTTTTATGGGTCCATTGGAAATTGAGCCCATCAAAATAGTATTTGTTGTTTAGAACCTCAAAATAAATACTGTTCAAATGTTTTAGATAGAAGAGCAAGATTATGGGGTGTCCAGAATTATTGAAAGAAGTCGTCCAACCTGGTGAACGAGTGAGTTGTTGATGATTCTTGAGAGGAATAGTTCAACATTGGCTAATTAAGAGAATGATCATGAAAAGACAAAAACAAAGTCATATAACTTATACTCTAAAGTGGACAATATTATATATGTTGAGAATTGTTGGAAGTAAGTCTCATATTAACTAATTTAGAGAAAGACGATGAGTTTATAAGTAAAGAAATATGAGGCTTTTTGAGAAAGCCTCAGCAAAGTCATGAAAGCTTATGTTCAAGGTGGACAATGTTATAGTAGTGTGGAGAGTCGCAATTACTAACAATATCATTATGAAGGTCCATAATTTCTTAACTATATCTTTAATTAAGTTATGCTAATAGAATTCTCAAACGTGGAACAAATGGTAAATAAAATCCTCAAATGAATGAGGTATTTTAGGGTGTAGTAACTGGGTTTTGGGCGATGGTGAATGGAAGCATGAAGAGCAAGTGAAAATGAGATTATGGAGGTAGGTGTTCATAGATTTAACTCTCATCAAGGGTTCAAAGAGCAACACAGATATAGAGCAATTGATTCAAAATTAGCAGCAGCAGCAGCAGATAAAGGGATTCCCCCCAATGCCCAAACAATCAAAATGAACACAAATGCAGCAGTGCAGTTAATAACATAATAAAAGTGGATATACCTATGGGTACCTTGTTCAAATGGATCCCTCGTATTGTCGACTGCATTCAGAGAAACGTCGTGTATGCGGCGGCTGAAAGAAATTCCAGATGGGCGCTCGAATTGGGTTTTGACGAAGGCGAAGAAGGACGCTGGGAGAGACAAATCCGAGAGAAAAAGAAAGTAATCCCCATTTAAATCAAGTACGAAAGACAGCGGCCCATCAAGGCCCATAGAAAACTCACCAGGCTCAATCAGACACAAATCAGCCCAAAATAGTACAAAAAGAACGGCCCATGAAGATTCCGAGTGGGCCTGAGACGGCCCAATAAGTCGTGGGTTGGGCTTCATTGAATAATAATTCGACACGTGCGGGTAAGTAGTGGTACGCGCATAACGAATTTTGTCGGAAAGAGAGAAAGTGGGAAGAGAGAGAGAGAGAGAGAGAGAGAAAAGGGTGCCCGACATAAAAGTACGAAACCGACACTGAAAATGCAAAATTTAGCGGTAAAAGAAAGAAATACCAAAACTTTTTTACGTAACGCAAATAATAATTATAATAAAATAAAAATTAAATAAATAAAAATTCAAGAGGTTTGGATTACTTGGTTGACTAAACATTCTCTCCAAGCGTTTGTGGAGCTTCCACTCTCTCTCTCTCTCACACACCCATCCATTCCATCACTCTATTTTATTCCATGTCGCTAAACGACAAAATATATAATTTTATTTTTTTGACTTTTTTTTTTTTTCAATTATTAAAAATAATTTTGGATGGGCTCAGTTTTTGGACCCAAAAGCCCATTAAAAACCTAGGAATTATTTGCTTCTCACCTTTCGAATTTAAATTCCATCGGAAAATAAATGGTGACGTGGAGGCGCGTTGGAAAATGGGGAGGGAAAAGGAAATGGGACTGGGCTTTCGCCACGTTATCAGTTTTATTATTTTTAATATTAATATTAGTTGGTTGGGAATTGTTCCCTGCGCCAATGGGACGCGTGTGGATTTGGATAACCTAAAATATTAATTACGTTATTAAAATAATAATTTAATAATTAAATGATTTAAGATCTAAATTAAAACACTTCTTCGGCACTCTTTGTTTGACTCAAACACGATCAAGATCAGCAGCCATTTAAGTTTCCCACGTACCACAAAACGCAGCGTTTTGCTGCCATCGACTGCCGTCATTTTGACCAATTTAACTATTATTTTTCAGATATAAAATATAAAATAATGTCCTTATATAGTTTCGAGAAACCTAATGTGTTTGAAGATCTTACCTAGCGTTCAGATCTATGTTTCCCAATTGAAAAAATAAAAAATAAAAAATAAAAAAACCCTGCATGAGTCTATTATAATTATTATAAGTTCACTAATTCGTCAAACTTTCTGGGTATTATTTGGCTACAAAATAATTACATAACATTATAATAAATGTCGGATATAAAAACTTAAAACTTAAATGTCAATAAATCAAATCAACAGTTAGCAAATAAAACTAACAATATCGTTGTTACCTTCATATGCATCAGCAGGTGTTCAATTTAGTCGTTTCCCACGGGGCGTATGTGAAAGGTCCTTGATACCCTTCTCATGAATTTTCTCTCCAAGAATCATAAGGGTATGGTTGAACTTTCACACTCAGAACTACATAGAAAGACAGTGGAGCTGGTGGCCACATCTTGATTTGGAATGAGACAACTATGAAGGAGGTTTTTATGGGACATTGTTTCATTTAAAAGCTTACTGGAATTTCTTAATAACTTCGACATTTTGTAATTCAACAATGGTTTAAAGGAGGATTAGATGTCAAATTAATTAGTCCTGTAATAATTGTAGATCTGAAAGGTACGAAATTATGATCCATCGGTTAAAAAATCTTGTCACTTATCTAATCCTACCCTATTCTAAAACATTGGGAAAAGAAAAGTCCATTCCATCAAGTGAATTACCATAAATTTAGTACAAAAGAGGGAAATCAAATAGCTAACATTAAATGTGAAACCTAATAAAGAAAATTAAGTTCACATGTTAACATAAATTATTTATGCTATTGATTACAATTAATTGCTAACCTTAGTAGTTAGAGACGTTGGGCAACAATTAATCAGCTTGCAAAGGCTTAATAAATACATAAGCAATCATTTATACTTAACTAAATATAGGCGAGACCTTTTTTCTAAAAGGTTACATCCTATAAGGTTGCTAATCCAAGAAAATTAATTATTCTTTGAATTAGTTTGCAATAGCTGATCTGCATTATACAAATTAATTAATAAGGATTAAGAAACTTCTAGCGTTTCCTGCCCAGAAAAAAACAGAATAATAGAGATAGGGAACCTCCATTTTTTTCTCCTAAAGAAACAAAATAATAGAGGTAGGCTGACAAAGCTCCATTTTTTCTCCTAAACTTTGAATGTATTTAAACTTATTTAATGAAACGGAGAGTTTGTTAGATAATCAAAACTAAACTTAGCTGAAAACTTACTCATACAAGATCAGTAAATCATAAGGAATTGTATCATTCATATGTAGGGATTGGTAGAAAAAAAAAGTTACCGAGAAAGGAGGAGCAGAGAACTGTTGAAAGTTGACGGTAGAACAGGAACAAAGCAAACTTCAGCTGTGTTGGTACAAAGAAATCAGTGAATTGAATGCGTTAAGATCTGGTCAAAATGAGCAGGGACTGAGGGGGCGTGGTAAAAAACAAAGAAGACAGGCCTAGAGCGAGAGGTATGGAAAGTGGGGTGGACCAAATAAAGGAGAGGTATAATGAAGAAAGAGAGAAAAGGGTGAAAAAACCAGAGTGGTGAGTGAGTGTTGTACAAATTGGCGTGCAGTGTTAGATATCCACCAAATGCCCCAAAAGTTAGCGATTGATATAAATGGTAAAGAGTGGAGACGTAGCAAAGTGTTGTGTTAGGGGATGAGTGGAGTTGCAGAAACATTAAGACAGCCACAGCCTTGATGGGGAAAGGGGGAAAGAGAATCTGACACTACAAACATAAGTGGACCATCCTTCCCTTCCTTCACTTTATAACCCCACCCCTCATAAAATCTTGCCCATAATAATCCCTTTGTTTAGAGGTATTGTTTTTGTCCTTGGGAGAATCCCATTCCAGGCAAGGGGCAGCCGAGTTTAGAGTCTAGTCAGAAAACCAGCTTGGGCTTTGTCACTAATCTAATCTAATCTCCTGCTGTCTTGCATATTTGAATACATTTATTAGGGAAGTGGGGAGTGGTTTAGGGTTTCAGAAAGTACCCAGAAAGGCAATTATTAGAAACAGGACCAAAGCTGCAGGCTGTGGGAGATGACTAACATGACCTTGTCGGTTGTTTTGCTGGAATAGTCCTCTTCTGCAGTCATCACTTTATTCTCCAAACCCCCACACCTGCGGCTTCCGATCTTGGGTTTGGGCGGGTGGTAGGAAACACCGAAAAAAAAAGAAAGAAAAAAAACCCTCTCTTTACCTTTCTCCTACACACCATCTTTCTTTCTTCTTATACTCTCTTTCTTCTGATTGCATCCATCCCCCAGCAGCTTCCATATTCACTATTGTCGTTTTCCTGCTGCTCTTACTTACTTACTGCATATTTCTTCATATTCCCCTCCCTCCCCAATTTAACAAAGGTAAGATTTTGATAGCAGACGCTGGTAGGTCCCTCTCTCTCCTTCTCTCTCTGTATGAATTCAAATTCATAGATGTTGAAAATTTCTCCTCTTTTGTCTTTCCGTCCCCAGTAATCCATTTATTTCCTGTTACCCAACAGTTTGTAGCACTTACGAGAACGGATTGGGAGTGATGGAGGACGCAAGAAAGCACCAGGAATTAGCAAAGGAATCTGGAGATTAATTAGCTACCTGGCTAATTGAGATCATGATCAGAGGGAGCTTAGCGTTGCTTAGTTCGTGGAAGATCCAAATGAATGTCTAGGATATAGAAGGGTAATGATGTGGAAGGCGGCTTAGTTATTGGCACCCAAAAGTAAGCTAGTTTAGATTTGTTACCTTTTTTTGGAGATCAGATATAATGGAGATGAGAGGTGAAGATGAGGAAATAGGAACTCCTTCCCCTTTGTGCTATCAATCAAATACGGAATCTTCAACCAAACTGCCTAATTCTGATCATTCACATCTAACACCAGCTGATACCAGAAGAGATCACACAGTACCCCAGCTCCATTTCTCTCATCAACTGAATCAAAACCATCACAAACTGAGTCTGCATCAGTATTTGCACAAACACACAACAGACCATCCTGTAGCAACCCCAGATCCAGTCCAGACCTCCGTTACTGCCTCACCCTCTGCAGATACTCAGCCGATCGCAAGCAGCAGATCAATCTCAAGAACACCACCTGCAAGTAATAATGTTATTCCTTCAGTTCGGTATCGAGAATGTTTGAAGAACCACGCAGCGAGTACTGGAGGCCATGTTCTCGATGGTTGTGGCGAGTTCATGCCTGGTGGAGAAACTGGAACCCCCGAGGCCTTGAAGTGTGCAGCCTGTGAATGCCATCGGAACTTTCACCGGAAAGAGGTGAAAGATCACGAGCCCACACAGCTAGCTGTACCCAGTGGCTTTTTCATCTCCAACACCATAAGAAACAATGGCTATCGCACTGATGGGTCACCAGTTCCCCTCTCCCGCCACCATCAATTGCCGGCAGTTCCAATTTCTTCGATGATGGCATTTGGAGGAAGCAATGGAGCTCCGGACGAGTCTTCAAGTGAAGATCTAAACATGTTTCACCAGTCCAATAATGGAGCCCGGGACCTGTTCGGTCAGCAGCAACAATTAATGAAAAAACGATTTAGAACAAAGTTCACACAGGGACAGAAGGACAAGATGGAAGAGTTTGCCGAAAAACTGGGGTGGAGAATTCAGAAACACGATGAATTGGAAGTGCAGCAGTTCTGCGCTGAGGTGGGCGTAAGGAGGCAAGTTTTCAAGGTTTGGATGCACAACAACAAACAAGCCATGAAGAAGAAACAAACGTAAGAACTTGTTAGAAGTTTTACTTCAAACACATTTCGTGAAATAATGTATCCTTGTTGACTAAGTTCTAAGAAGATAGATTTTAGAGTAAGTGCATGTGACACAGACCAATATTAGTAAGCATCGAACAAGGGAGAGAGGCAATATTCAGTTCTTGAACGAATATATCTCATTACACTTTGTCGTGTTACTTCTACCTCTTACCTGGATGTTTTAAGCATCAATGTTACCAAAATCAACACTGAAATAAGTTGAGTAACTCCTCCCCGAAACAAAGCCAATGAAACTGGATCAGAAGTAAAAAAGGGATGGCCGGAGCGGAAGATGCGAAAGGAAAGTGCATGGTAGGCTGTTAGATTTACATCTATAATACCAATATTTCAATTCTGTGGCTAGAATGTAGACTGATATAATATCTTATTTTCTTTTTTGTCATTATCTACAAATTATAATCTTCGTTAACCCCGGGACAGAACAGCGAATGAGAGGTGAAACCCTCATTAAAGAAGGCTTTGATTTTGTTGGAAACCTATAATCCAAGAAGTACTATGAGTGTGTTTTTTCATAATATCAGAAAAGGCGTAGTCCGCTTACATTTCCATATTTTTTTGCCCCTAGAAACTGGTGGGAAAAAAAAAAGGACGAATCTATTTCAATCCTGGAATTGCAACTTAAATTTTCAGGAATTAGTCTTCGTTGTATTCTACTCATGATTAAGGAATTAAATATGTTCAATATATAAATTTGTTCTTTCAGGACTACAACTTTGTTTCTTCAGAACTAGAAATTTGCTAGTGAGATAAACCCAGATTGATAAAAATTATGAACATATAAAATACATTTATAACAGCGAAGGCTTTAAATCAGTTACGGAGCTTTGGGAATTGGATTATCTGAAATGGTACCCTGCCTCTCTGTCTGGTAGAGAAAAGGGTCTGGAAATCTCAGATTTCGAGTAAATAGATGACCCCAGACAGTTAAACATTGATAAGAAAGAAGCTCTTAAATTTTTTACTGCGGGAATATGCTTGGTGGAAAATTGAGGAAACAGATATGTTCTTCTGTCTTTAGTGTACAATGCAATTAAAGGCTACGCGGTGTGTTCTGCAATGAGTGTCTTTAACGTAAAGTATTATTGAAATGAAAAGCATTACTATTCGATATGAAGCATTTATCAAATCCAACAATACAAAATAAATTCTAAAGGGAAACACAAAATAATAATAGTTACCTCTTTTAATTACGTCAATGAATCATCTAAAGCGGTCTCCAGATGACAAGCTTTTGAATGCTTCCATCTATGGCATTGCTCCATATAGTTTGCTACAAAATGGAAGAGCAATTGTTCAGATCTTCTCTTATTACAGGCATCTAACGTACGCATACGTGAAAGCTGGGGGAAATTTCAATGGGCTAATCCCATTTCTTACCGAGTTTGTCTCTGCAGCAGTAAAATAAATGAATTTACTAGATCAATCATGCTTTAGAAAAACACGTTACAAATACAAATAATAATGAGCAAGAAATCTTACCTGAAATCAATAGCCCATACCCGACGTCTCTAGGGCGTCTGGCACTCTCCAGAGCGTTGGAGACAAGCTGGGAAGTTAGTGAAATGGGGTTAGGCTTCAAGAAATGGGGATGCTTCAACTTTACCAAGCGGCACTACTGCTGAGTTCTGACAGGCAACCATCATATTAATGCATTTACAGCTTTATTAGAAGTCATTCTGACCTTTCGGGAGCATACTTCTTTTGAATTTTCATGTCTTTTCCACACCAGCAACAGCAGCTGCTGCAGCAATTTCAACTTTTTTCTCTGTCCTCGCTGCGGCGGCACCATCTCCTCAGCTTTATCCACCGCCCACCGTATAATGAGATTGAGCCCTCGCTCTCCAATCTGCTTTTGAGACCTTCGGAAAGCGACAAAAGGAAAACAAATATCCCCAACGGACGGAATAATAAACAATTATAAAATAAAAACCACTAGAACCACAAGAAATTTCCATTTTCTTGCAACAGTTTGGGAGCACAAACTTTTCCTGCTGGAAAGATCAATCAAATCGTTAATCATTACTTCCATAACAACTTTCAAGTAACGTAAACAAGCACAATTATGCAAAAACAATTTATGCCTTAAACCCTAGTTAATAGACACAAAACCTTAATTTTTTACGTCTTAAACCCTAGTTTTATAAGACCTGATAAACGATTCTTACGATTTGATAAAAATTTCGTGAATAATCTCCATGATTGTTCTTGAGCCAGTTCCTCAGATCTCAGTTTCTAAGTATTTTTAATCCATTCGTAAGTGTACTAAAATATAGTTTCGTAATTAGTAAATGATTGCAGCCTATTCCTTTGGTAAAATAAAATGAAATAAAATGATCCTCAAACGCATGAGCGAATCCATTAAACAATACTGCAATTGAAGAATTTATGATGAGAATAATCATGTAATTTGCATCGAGATATGTAGAACGAACTCGCATTAATTAGCAATGATCTTTGAATCGCATGCACTAATCGAGAAGAGCGCCCTTCTCTTTTTTGGAGCCAAAAAGGCATCAAGCACCACGAAATACACTAAAACTTGCGGTCGAAGCGTTTACCTTCATATAAGGAGTACCGAAGGAAATTCGCAAGCTATTTCCTCGAAGAACTGCGCGAGAAGATCGATTAGAGAACATTCTCATGTTTCTCTCTCAGAACGATCGTGCATGGCCGTATTCTGCATGTTTCGGCTTCGACGGCGGCAATGTTGCCGATCGATCCTCTAATGTCTGCCGGCTCTTCTGTCGCCTCTCCGCTGCCGCTCATGACGACGGCGCACACAATCGCAGCGACTTCTGGTACCAAATAATCTCACGAAGAAAAAACGAAATTACTTCAGAAGCGGCAGAGACTTTTGAATCACTAACCGCATCCTTCATTTCCATTTTCCGTTTAGGGAGAGAAAATGAGAACGAAAAGCAGTTTTAAACAGAGTGAGGAGAAAACGTGGCAAATATTTGAAACCACCGAAGGCGGGGACCGGGCCACCTGAGTAACACGTGTCGTCGCACACGGCAGCAACCGCCCTCCACCGTCACAGCTGGTTTCTCCACGAAAACTTGTCTGAAAAGTCACATAGTTCCGCCGTTTATTGTAATTGTCTCCGTCAGGTCATCGGATCGGTCGACCGTCGACAGATTGTTCCGACCGCTGCGTACCATTTTTCGTCCTTTGTCGGCCCAACTTACGACCCGAAGGACACCGAATTTAAAATGAAAATTTTACTTTCCCCATGAGACGTAAAAAAGATAAGAAGGTAAATTCATGTTCAATGATCTTCCCAAGAACCGGTAAGAAAAAAAAAAAAGCTGCGGAAAAAGTGAAAGTAAAGATGATGTCACAGTCGCAATTCGCAAGAACTTCGGGAGCTTCTTAACAGATGATTATTTTTTTTATGGATAAAATAAGAATTTTTATTGAAGATTTATAATTGAAATCTGGGCTTCAATGAGAATTGGGCCTGAAAGCCCATTGGCCCAAACTCCTAGCTTTGAGTTTTTTTTAACCCATGAATGAATATTTTGACTACAGAATTGTAGTGTTTGTATGCTACATAATGGGTAAAAAATGAGGTAAAAAATGAGGTAAAAATGATGGCTCTTCCCTGCAAGTGATGTTACGATGAAAAAATTCCTCAGCTAAACAGGATGGCCACCTTCAGCAGCTAGCTTTAGTCTTTGGTGATGCTCGGTTACCTTATAATCAACGATTTCTGTAAACAACATGGAGTCCAAGATACAGTCTGGCCGCCCATAAACAGCTGCCTGAACACTGGCCAGGAGCTTTGCGATCTCACGGCCGGAGAACTCTTTGATCTTTCGAGCTGCATCTCGAAGAATGTCGTCGGTTATGTCTCTTATGGTTATTTGTTGGGGGATTTTCTTGAATGAGAATGCTTGATTGGATTTGGCTTCATTTTGATTGCTTAGGTACGTGTTTAGATAAAGCTTCAGCAGTTTGAAGCGTTCTTCCTCACCAGGGAGTGGAAACTCAATGACTTCATCCATTCGGTCAGTCACGGCACTGTCGAGATCGCCCGGTCTGTTTGTTGCAAGTACAAGAACTATGTCTCTCGATTGATCACCGGTTCGGAACAGCAATGCATTTAGAGCACTTCGCTGAGCTTCACTCATCTGTGTACTGTTGCGCCTGCATTGAGGACAGACATTTCAGCTAAAAATGTACTACTTTCATGAACAGAATAACAAGATTACTTTTACATGCTCTGCCTTCTTCTTACTGTTATGGGGGGTGGGTTGGGGGACTTACTCGCAGAGAAAAGCATCAGCCTCGTCGATGAAAAGCAGTAAGCCTTTCCTTGAATTTTTAGCCCAGTCAAATATTTGGTGTATTTTTGTAACGGCTTGTGGACCTAAAGGTGCAACATCTCCTCCAGTCATCATGGCATAATCCAAACCCTGCTTAAACAAAAGGAACTAGGGATCAAATTGAGCAGCATGATCCAAAAGCTGAGTCAACTATCCTAATCATTTCATGGCAGTAGAGTTTTTGAACTAAAGCTGTGCTATGCTGAATGATGATATCATATCATACCTCTAGAACTATAGAGAAGCATGTTCCATCCAGGCAAAAAAAAGTTCAAACAAAACACATTTATAATGGCAAAAAAAAGAAAAGAGTAAACAGTAAGGCATTGGTGGACATCTTACTGATTTTCGGGCTATCTCTTTCGCAACCATAGTTTTCCCGGTCCCGGGAGGTCCATGAAATAGCATATTACGGAAGGGTGCCTCATGAGCCTTGGTGTTTGCAGTAGTTCTCGAAAGTTGTTCAATTCTCCTTTTAAGTGAAGGATGGAGGACAACATTCCCAAGATCATTTTTATATTCTGCGAGAGATGATGCCGCCCCAGCTCCTGTAGAAAATGCAGCAGCTTTGTTCTTTACCCAGGGTATTATCTTGAAACCTGGAAACCTTACAACAGAGGATTCTCTAATGAGGGATGGCTGACCCAATAACCTATTAACATAACCCCACATAACTCTTGCACCTTCCCTGTACACCAGGTGTGATAAAGGGAGAATGATTAGATAACATATTAAGCTTAAAATCAGTGAGGTAAACCAAAGACTTTAATCACAGATTTGTATGTGGATAACATGTATACATAGTTCCAATCTTTCATGAAAATGGGTGGCTTTTTCACTTTCACATCTCCCTAGTCGAATTAAGGATGTAGAACGTTTGTCAGATCATTAGCAGATCAATATCAGGTTAAGGCTTGTGAACTGTGAAGGTGAATGAACCAAAAGTTTACATATAAGTATTATTAGTTATATTATACCTTACTAATATTTGTTTGGATATAACTAAACAATCACCTGGTAGTGTATACTCCCGCAGCTAATGCAGTAGCTCCACCAACAGTCAAAACCAACTTATTCCGATCAGTTAGTAAAATCCTTACACCCCCTGCACATATTATTCAGAAGTAAATATATAAGGTGTCTTGTGCATTGGAGTAGTGCCAAATATGAGATTAGAACACAATAATCCATTCCATATTATGAAATTGTCACTCCAATACCATTAACCATCACATGCTTATAAATTAAATTTAATCTACCTTCAATATGACTAAAAGCCGTGTTAATTGCAGCAAGCCATTTTTCTTTCTCTCCACTTATTTGTTCCATAAGCATTCTGCGGTTATGATCTTCAGTCAGCTTTGCTTCATGTGCACGACCCTCAGCCTCTGCCATGGCCTTCACTCGTATGGTTTCCCGCTCTATTTCAGCTCTCTCTTTCTCGGTCTGTCGTTGTTGTGCTTGTATCTGCTCCTCAGTTACTTGTCTTGCTTGTTCTTTTCTTATAGATGATTGTTCTTGCATTCCAACTAACTCAACATTATGTCGCCTTTGAGCTTCGTGATCAGTCTGCAAAGAATAGGAAGACATAAATAATAAAACATTAACATGCACAATCAAAATTTTTTATTCTTAACATACATTTTCCAACTCATCCTTATTCTGAAGAACCAACTAAAACCAACCCACCTGCATTCTTTTTCTAGCCAACTCATCTTCATAGCGCAGCATTTGTGCCTTTGCCTGAGCTTGTTGTTGAATAAGATTTCTCTGTTCTTCAGCCAATTTCCGTTGTCTATCCTGTAAATCTAACATGTTAACATATAGGCTAGACACCAGAGGCTAACTCGTTCAAGTAGCTTACTATTTGCAAACCAACAGTTTCAGATAATGAGGGTAATCAAACCAAACGTGTAAAAAAAATTCTAGAACTATTATGTAGTAATAACATAGAAAAGAACCTACTATATCTGCTTGAGCTTGAATGACTTCGTAATGGGCCTTTTCAGCAGCCACCTCAGCAAGACGCGCTTGTTCCTGGTTTTTCATCAGCTCAAAGACCTAACCCAGAAAGAACACAACAGTTTAAAGCAATAAAAAGCTAGGAAGTTGGATTTCACATCATTCACCAGCAGAAACAAAATTTCATCGAACACTGCCATTGGGGGAACTATCAAGCAAAAACGAAACGAATTAAGCAAAAAAAAAATGAAGCAGCACCTTTTTAGCATTGGGGGAACTATTAATTTCTCGGAGAGCTTTAGCGCCTCTTTCCAATGCTTCAGCATCAAATCCAGACTTACTCGGCTCCTCAACGGCGGGTTTAGCGTCCGATTTCTCATCAGAGGACTTATCCTCCTGAGAGGTATGAGAAGAAGAGAAAGGTGAGAAGCGAAAGGGATAGTCGGCGTAGGTGCGATTGGCGATCGTCGGCAATGACGCAGCAGCCGCAGCCATAACTACGCAGGCGGATAATCTAGGGACAGCCATAAATTCAACAAAAACAGAATCTCTGAAAATTCCGCTTGCATAAAATACTGATAACGAAACCGCTTTAATGCCTCCAGAAAATATGAGTTGTCTTGTTGATCAAGTAAGAACATGGTTAGGTTGACAGGGCCTTGGTGTCTGGTGCCGAGGTTTAAACCTCCGTTTTCTTGCAGTTGCAGAGCCATAGGGTTTAAGAGACTAAGGGCCAGAAATGGGTCGCCCAATAGAACAGCAGAATTAAAAAAAAAAAAAAAAAAAAAAAAAAAAAAAAAAAAAAAAAAAAA